GAAAAGGCAAGCAGTCTGGGTTATCACAGGTTCATGCACAAACTCTATCTTAAATCATCGTGTGTATTCAACAGCTCTATTATTCTTGATTTTGTCACTAACACATTTGAAAGTCATACGATCGCCCCAGCGACACATGGTCTTAGTAGAGATCAGATCCTCAAACGCATTAATCTTGTTGCTTTTGCAAGTGCACAAGATAGCGATGAGTCGGAGGAAGATCGTGATGACGTGGCAAAGGATGCAGTCAGTACTTCAAGCTCTGTAGTAGCAGATGACGATTCGAACGCCTCCTCATATCCTAGCTAATAGTATCATATGTTTTGCTCTCAATGAAATGCTGCTTCATCTGTATCTTGCACGATAACAACAGTTAATTACACACATGCTATCAAGAAACAACAATATAACCTGATAATAAGTTTAATGCCAGTGGAAGTTAGCGATAATATCACTGAATATCCTATAATTTCCAGAGGGGACCGGCCAATACCAGCTAATATCCTATAATATGGAAAATCAAATAATATAGATAAATTTTCGAACATTTTCGAAAGTTTTTGGGAATATTTGGTACATTATCTGAGTACCGGTTTCCTGATGTCGGATGAACATTGTCACTGAACAGCAATCCAGGAGATGGGTTTCATGGTTTCTTGATAATTAGAAAATGGTAACGAGGTGAGATCAACGACTGAGAATTTTAGAATTTTCTTCTCGCTCGTCAATAGTTAGAATGATATAGAGAAATCTGTATTTAGTAAGGACTCAGGTTGGAAATAGCTTTAATGTAGTCAACATAGCTTGTCATTTGGTTCCATAGACAATGCTAAAGCTCATACCATTTGTCAAGTTTTCCTTTAGTAGTGGGAAGTTTGCGGAAAACATTTGCTCTCACAGAGATTGGTCAATTGATTTTCGTCTGGAGTTAAATAAAACATTAGAACAATAGCCTTGAAGTGTACTTGGTCAGAGAAGGATATCTTCGCACTATATCCCATAGGCCTCTGCTCTGTTCTTCTCATATTCTAAACACTAAACACTCAACATTCTGAACGCACTCGACACACTGAGCGCAGCCTTAAGCAGTGACGACCACCTGCACAACCAACCCCACAACCCCTCCACCCTTTCCATCCCATCCTGGGATAGGTGCACGACATACTGGACATCTAGAAAGAAGGAGAGAATATGTTTTCATTAGCAAAGCACGGCCAAATGAGCGAACGAACTGGATGAGCGAACGAACAAAACGGAGCAAGTGAATATAGCAAGCCAATGATCGAAATAGAATGGAAGGGAGCGATGAATCAATGAAGCAGAAGGGAACAGATGAATGAATAAGCAAAGCCAGTGAACTCATAAAGAAGAGTCTCCCGAGCTCATAAGAAACAAGCAAACACACCTCGGTCCGCCCTCATCTCGAATAGTCCCACCCATCATCATCGTTTCCCGCCTCAACGCCGTCTTGACCGCAGTAAACAGGCATGGCCCACACGCGACGTGTCCACAGGGCGTCATTGTCGCATTTGTGGGTGGGGAGAAACATATGGGACAGTTGTACGTGGATAGAGAGTGGGTGGAGAGGAGATCCGGTATAGAGTTTGGTGAGATGGGCGTGAGATAGGGGGTGGTGGAAGATTCTTGTAGGTGAGTCTCAGGCTCAGGCTCAGATGGTAGAGTTGGGGTCGGAGTCGTAGCAGTAGCCGTAGCTGTAATCGCAGGAGCCGCGATACTCGCTCCCGTTTTTTGTTTCTCCTTCCCTTCCCCTTTCCCTTTAGCTTTGGATAATTTCGATTTACCTTTCCGAGTCTTTGGTGTCGTTGTGGTCGTCGTCAAAGTCGAGGTAGAGGGTTGTTGCCTAAATCCTGTATCGCCGTTGTCCTTTTCCTCTTCATCCTCTTCATCCTTCTCCTTATTGACCTCTTGTTCTTCGTCCCTATCCATCAATCGCACTCTCTTCCGATCCCTATCCTCTCTTTCCTCATCCTTGTCCATTTCTTTTTCTTCTTCTCCTTCACTCCCACCCCCAATCTGTTCATTCATCGTCCTCTTCCTCTTTCCCCCAACACTCCGAGACCGAGATGGGATGCGATGGACTAGACCAGCTACGGCTTCGTCGACATTATCATCAGCATCAGTAGCACTGAAGTTCAGAAGATGCGCTAGTGATGACTGACTTCGTCTAGGCCTTGAGCTTGGGTGAATATGTCGATGACCGTTAACATATTCTTCACCTGGATCCGAGCCTGAGCCTGGTAAGTCGGAGTTGTTAGGTACAAGCAGACTTGAATCAATATCCCTAGAATCATCGAATGTATCTTCGTTGCTATTATGCCTAAATCGTCGAAAAGGCTGTGGATCTTGACCTCGGCTGGCGTTGTACCCATCGTCATCAGGTCCAGGTCCAGAAGCATCAGCGGATGCCGATGAACCGTGAAGCGCATAACCTGAACTGTAACCGTGGTCAAGGCGTGTACCGGTATCATTATCGGTATTAATATTGGTATCAGACACGATTCCTAAACCCCCGTCTCTCTCTTGATGTACAAATCCTGGACTTTCGGAATGAGACCGCGTTTGACATCGAGGCAAATGAGGCGGAGAGTAAACAGGCTGATGTTGGGTTGTGAACGCATAAGGGTCTGAGAAAGATGTAGAAGAACTCGGAGTGTCGCCTGTTTCAACAGCAGCACTGGGCTCCATCTTGTTTCTGAGAGAATTCAAGTTTCCAACCACTCGTCTCGAAGCAGAAGCAGCTCTGAGACGAGGTACAGGTGTTGTGCTGGTGAGTGGCGTAGGCAGAGCAAAGTCATCGTCTAACTTCATTGTGTTCAGTAAGAAATTCACAAGGGAAATCGCCCGGCCCGGAGAGCCCGAAACCCGCAGAAATTCAAAATCAACCACTTCAACTTGTAACAGGTTACAGAACCCACTTGTCCTAATCGATTACGATTACTCAAGTATACACAATCATTTCATTCGTTGCAATGAACAGGATACTTGTGATTGGTTCCCGTCGAGATCGCCAAATACTAATATCTTTCCAGGACATGTTAAGCCTATAGAACCTGCTGTCAGGAGAGAGTTTCCACTGAATCTCTTGGGGTCAAAGCTTCTCGTTGGCCAGTAGGGGAGGATTACCGCGAGAGAATCATACAGGAGAAGTTTCGATTCCTCCCAAGACTGCTGCGGTATTATGGAAGAAGACCAGTATTAGTACTATATGTAATGGCTCTACCCCAGAATCCTTCTCCTCCGCAATAGCCGTCCTTCAAATGTTCTCTCTCCTCGTGATCGACTGTGAAGGTCTCAATCTAGACTCATCGTGGTTCTCTTTTCGTCCTCAGTATCTGTCCTATTGCCCCACAAAATCCTCAGAATTTCCTTTTCGATTTTGTCGCTCTCACTTTCTCCCTCCAGCCCTCTTTTCCTTTCTCACCAACCCCTCGATCCTCAAAATCCTCTACGACGGCCGAATAGACTTTTGCGCTCTCTACCACACCTACCACATCGATCTCGACCCCGTGCTCGATCTCCAACTGGTTGATATCTGCTCTCGTTTTGCCCGTGGTGATTACAGCGTAGCGAGTCACGAACGAAGACCCTTGCGGTGTTTCTCACATAAACAAATCAGACAGAATAAAGACAGGTTTAAGAATATACATATCCTTCGAAGTTTGGGAAGGTGGTTTGGAGGAACATGGGTGCAAGAGTACTTCACCTAAGAACCATGGCATGTAGACCATTACTCGACTCTTCAATGCTTATCACAACTCACAGTTAATCACGAAACATGGCTAACCCGACCCTTATCCTCCAAATACCTCGAATATGCAGCACACGACGTTGCAATCATTCACGCTCTCGACACACAACTCATTCAAGTTTGTTACATCCAACACCCATTCCTCTCCCTAAATCTCTCCCAATCCAAACGATGCATCTCCATCTGGAACGATGCCTATTCAGAACAAGGCAACACCTATCGCTCTCCTCTTCTCCCTTTGGAGATAATTGATTTTATCCTATCCCAATTTATATTACTATCACCAGCCAAGGGGGTTCTCGTAACTTATCCTCTTCGTCTTGAGTTTTGGAAGTAGAGAAAACGAGTTGAGGAATATCTCAAGTCTCATTGCAGTACTTTGAGTGATATTCAGCCCATCAGGCAAATTTAGTTTTGTACTTGCAGTGTCGTAAAACAAATCTCAGGATACCCAGAGTATTTCAGAAGGCCGTGCAGAATTGGAAAGTACACGTCGCACATTGATTATTTCTTCGAGGACGAACTGGAATTGATATCTCTTACAATTCCTGGAAAAGAGAAGAAAAAATGTATTCCTTCTAGCCGACTTGAACGACTGACCTCGTCATTATTTCTTCTGTGAATACTAGTGACGCGCTCTACCAACTGAGCTAAGAAGGATCCGGAAATAGTTGGGGCTTATGCTATGATATCCCTATCCAAAGGGTGAGCTGGTAAAATGGCAAGCTCACAAATTTCCGTATAACCCTCTTTATCACGCTCACCAGTAGCCAACCTCAGGAGGCCCGGGTTTCATATTAGCTTCATCATCTGGTACTCTGAGGCCTTCATGGAAGACAGGCCACACAAAGCACATAGGCCTGCTCACTCGGGCAATAAAGCTGAGAAGAAAGAGTCCAAGGGAAAAGGAAAGGAGAAACAACATGGATTCAACGAAAAGGTAATGTCAATCAATTTGTACATCACCTTTTCAAAATTTTACTCAATCTTCTATACTACAGGCGTTTGCCCCCAAATCCGGTCGGAATGCCGACCGTCTAGGTCGTCGAGCAGTCGAAAAAGACCAAACGCGGCTACATGTTCCTCTCGTCAACCGAACGCCCGACGACCTTCCCCCGCCTATCATCGTCGCTATCGTTGGACCACCTGGAGTGGGAAAAACAACGCTACTTAAATCTCTCGTTCGAAGATACACCAAACAAACCCTGAGTGAGCCCAAAGGACCGATAACAGTTGTTAGTGGGAAGAAGAGGAGGATCACTTTTGTGGAGTGTAATAATTCCTTGAATAGTATGATTGATATTGGCAAGGTGGCAGACCTGGTAATGCTGATGATAGATGGTAGTTTTGGATTTGAGATGGTGAGTATTCATATTCGTTGAATATAACACTATATATGCTAAACTATAGTCATCGATAGGAAACCTTTGAATTCCTCAATATCCTCCAATCTCATGGGTTTCCTAAAGTCATCGGTGTCCTCACACATCTTGACCTGATCAAAAAAGCCGCTACCCTCCGCGCGTCCAAAAAAGCGTTAAAAAAACGATTTTGGACCGAAATCTATCAAGGCGCCAAGCTCTTTTACCTCTCTGGCGTCCTCAATGGACGATATCCCGATACTGAAATTCTCAACCTCTCCCGCTTCATCAGTGTGATGAAGTTCCGACCTTTAGTCTTCCGCAACACCCATCCCTACGTCTACATCGACCGTATAGAAGATTTGACTCCGCGAGAACTAGTAAGAACTTCCGGAGGAAAATGCGACAGAAGGGTATCGGTTTATGGGTATGTAAGAGGAACCAATCTGAGGGAAGGGCAAAAAGTGCATATGCCGGGTGTAGGCGATCTGGATATGGAGAGTATCAAGATCCTGGGTGACCCGTGTCCGTTGCCCGATGCAGATTCAGAGAAGAGGAGGAAGTTGAGTGAGAAAAAAAAGCTGCTGGTTCATGCACCGATGAGTGATGTTGGAGGCATGATCTATGACAAGGATGCGGTTTATATCAATGTTCCGGGTAGCTTCACTAGAAGGAATGACGGTGAAGATGATGAGGGAGGCATTGTGCAAGGTGAGGGAGAGAGGATGGTGATGGATTTGCAGGACGCGGGCATGACGCTTGACGATGCGGTCAAGCAGACAAAGATTAGACTCTTTGGGTCGTCGGAGAAGCCTTTGGCGATTGAGGAATTCGATGAAGAGGATGATGAAGATGAAGATGGAGCCTCTGCTGATGAAGAGGACCAGGAAGATCTTGACTCTGACGACCAACCCGATGGCGAGCTTGACGAACACGCGCACCATCTCACCATGTCCAAACTCCGCGCAGACCCTCGAAACACCGGTCGTTCACAACTTCGTCGTCCCAATCGTTCTTTTCTGTCGTCTTTGTCTGTGTCTAAGTCATCACGACCGGATGTGGATTTTGTAGAGAGTGATTCAGATTTAGGTGATGGAGATGACGAAGATGGCGAACGCGCTCGATTCGTTGACGAGGAGGAAGAAATGGATGTTGACATTCCTGATGACAATGAAGATGAAGATCTCTTATCACAGGAAGACGACGACGACGACGTAGTTGATGAAGGAGAGGGTACGGTTCATACAAAAACACTCGACGCACTAGCTCGACGACGACGACGAACACGAAGAGACTGGGTCAAGGATATATATTCTAGCGATCTCTCTCCAGAAGAAATTTTATCCCAACCTTCGTCTTCGTTAGCTGCCGAAGCGCAAAAAGCAGAAACAGCAGCAGTAGACGACGAATTCTTCTTCACCAAAAAACCATCCAACACCGTTTCCGACTCACTCGACCCCGATCACCTCGAGTTCTCAGATAAATCCAAACCCACACTTAATCCTGCAGAACTGAGTAAATGGGAGGACGAGGAAATGTTGGAGAGTATCCGAAGTCTGTTCATCACTGGCGTAGATGCCCCTGATGGAGATGGTAATGACGAAGCAGGCGGAGACGGTGAAGAAGGCGAAGGCGATGATGATGAAGGTGGTGGTGATTTCGTGGATTTTGAAGCTATGGGTGGTGATCCTTCCCTAACCACTGCTGCCGTTGGATCCTCTTCTACCACGACCTCTGTAGCCGGCCCTTCTTCATCTCGCGATGCCCTAGCCTCTAAAAAAGCGGCTCTCAAAGCGCGCTTTGACGAAGAATATGACGATCCGTCCGGTCCCAACATGGATTTCTACTCCGAAAAGAAAGCCGAGATATCCTCCCAACTCGAACTAAACAGGGCCGAATTTGCTTCGATCACTGATCTAGAAGCGCGCGCTCAGCTCGAGGGATACATCCCAGGGACTTATGTTCGAATTGTATTGTCTTCGGTGCCAGCTGAGCTCATACAATACTTTGATCCAGCGTATCCGCTCCTCCTAGGTGGTCTACTCCCCGCCGAATCGCATTCCTCTGAACCATCCTCGTTCAATTTCGTTCAAGTGAGGCTGAAGAGGCACCGCTGGTTCACACGACCGTTGAAGACTAACGATCCGTTGATCGTCAGTCTCGGATGGAGAAGATTCCAAACCATACCGATTTATTCATTGGACGATCATAGCATTCGGATGCGAATGCTCAAGTACACACCGGAACACATGCATTGTTATGCAACATTTTGGGGACCTGGGGTGCTTCCTAATACTGGATTTTGTGCGTTCAATACGGTCGCTGACGGCGCAGAAACAGGAGGGTTTCGAATCTCTGCCACTGGCGTCGTCCTTTCCCTCGCTAGCACTTCTCAGATTGTCAAAAAGCTGAAATTGACGGGAACGCCGTTCAAGATTTTTAAAAACACAGCTTTTATCAAGGGGATGTTCAGTAGTGCGCTGGAGGTCGCCAAGTTTGAGGGAGCGAGTGTTAAGACGGTTAGTGGAGTTCGAGGTGTGGTTAAGAAGGCTGTCAGTGCAGGAGGCTTAGGTGGGGATGGAAAACGGAAGGGAGGAAAAGGAGGAGATGGAGCATTTAGGGCAGCGTTTGAGGATAAGTTGCTGATGAGTGGCGAGTTGAACTTTTATCTTTTTGCTCTGCTCAAAGTCTCACTCTCTTATCTATTCACAGACATAGTCTTCCTCCGCGCATGGTACTCGGTACAACCACGAAAATTCTACGCACCGGTCACTTCTCTTCTTCTACCTTCCCAAGCCCAAAACTCACCATCGGACGCTGATGAAACACCAATTGAAACAAAACAAACGTGGACTGGCATGCGTTTAACCGGCACCGTCCGTCGCTCGCTCGGTATCAAGACTCCTTTGAACGTGAACTCGACGTACAGGCACAAACTTGGAATTGAGCAACAACGAACGGAAAAGAAAGGAAGATTTGCACCATTAGTCATACCGAAGAGTTTACAGAAGCAACTACCGTATAAAAGCAAGCCGAAGCTCATGATCAAGCAAGGCGGAAGTGGTAGCGACAGCAAGAGAAAACAAACCTACCTTCAGAAGCGTGCAGTGGTTCTCGAACCAGAAGAAAAACGGGCGGTGGCATTGCTCCAGCAAATCCGTGCATTAAGGAAAGATCAAGTGCAGAGGAGGAAGGAGAAGAAGGAGGCAGGGAAAGAGAGAAAGAGGAAGGAAGAAGAGAAGAGTGAAGAGAGGAAGATGGAAAAGGAAAGAGAGAGGAAGAAGGAGGTTATGAGGAATGTCGGAATGGGTGGAAAGAGGGATAAGAGGGAGGCGGAGGCAATGGAGGGTGGAAGAAGGAAGAAGAGAAAGACGGGCTAGATGTTTTTGACGAATATCTTACTATATGCACGAAAATGTTGGTAATTCGTTCGTGTCGCTACAACCCGACATTGGCAGCTGTACACTCACTTACGCTTAGCTATTACTTGTTCCGAAGGCTATCTTCGCATCTGCATGTCATCATTTTCGTTGTCAAAAAGTGTGAAGCGAGGGTACTACTGAACATTCTATAGTTGTAGTGCCATAGACAATCACTTGTAACATCGGCATTGGCATTGGCCATCCCCCCCTTCCGCCAAAGGCTGTCACCTTCGTTTATCAGCTGTAACGAAACTTTTCCTCGTTCTTCTTAAATTCCTTTAGAATAGAAACGGAGTCCGGAAGTGCATCACGTTTCTCCAGAGTCGTCAACGCAGATTCAATGTAATCCCAACAATTTCCACCAGGCTCTTGGTGTAGGGGCAATTCTATGGAAAGCAAAGCCTTCAAGGCCAGCTCTTTAGCGGCTGGGCTTTCGAACTTTGCTTTTCCCAATGGAAACCAATCGTAATGGTCCCTGCAGTATTCTAGATGTTCCACTGGAATCTGTTCGGGGAGCAGCCGGGTTTTTGATGTGTCACTCCAGGATGCATGAACCATCACATCGCCGATAGCTAGAAGCACGTGTCGGATCGGCTTCTGTCCCGGTTTAGATTTATAACGACCAAGTTGCACTTCCACTTCGGATTCGCGGCGGAATAGTTCGGGTTGGAAGCCAGTCACGCCATCAGTGGGCAAGGGTGACCCAGACGCTGTCAGCATACTCACGCAAAGGTAGAGTACAGTGAACAAGCGTGAAGCAGTGACCAGGAAGAGCATTTTCCGAATGATTCAGACGCGAGACGTTCAAGGGCAGGGTAGGTCAAATCTACTTCACAGTGTGACCACCGTAAATATGACCAGAAGATATTCCAAGTGTTAGATAGACGTACCAGGGTCACAATCCGTCGTGAGTGTCCAACAATTGTTGAAAAAACAGAAGGCAGAATATGGAGTGCAAGTCGGAATGTTTTTTTTAATTATCTAGTCCCATCGTTGAGTATAGGCCAGAGAACTTGCAATGAAACTCGGAAACATACCGAGCAGTTGCAAAAATCGATAGAAATTTTCCACCAGGTCTAAACTACCAGAGTAAGAACAGGAGACAAAAGCTATCGTGACACCAAGTAAGAAATTGGAAGAAGGCCAAGTGCATGGTAGAGCTCTTACCGAACCAGCGCAAAGTGTACGAGTATATAACGAAGCTAAGTGTGTTGGAAGAAGGATGAGGGGACTATCTTTAGCCCTGATACTTATATCTTTTCGCTTGACCTGAGATAGCTTGATGATTGCCAATGAAGAAACCATCAATCGAGAGCCGTGTGGACTATGGTGTCCATCTTGCGAGCATTTCAGTGAGCCGACGGAAGGCAACAATGTGAACTCGCACAAGCCGGAATTATCCTTGTTCTTTCTTTGGGACGTCGCATAAATTATCAGTCTCGATTACACTTCGTCCTGAATGCATTTTATCTGCAGTCACAATATCAATGCGTTATTCCGCATGTAAGAAAATAATTCAAGTTCGCCACATACCGGTCGGCGGTTAAATGCCAGGCTGGACCCATGAGCCTGTCAGAGAGCGATAAAGCACGCGAAATTGTGGATGAACTGACGGGGCATTGAAATTGTCATCAGGAAAGGCACCACTGGCACCAAAGCGAGGCCCTGGCATAGACGACACACAATACCAACGCGGTCCCGTCATAAACAAGAATTGATGCAATCAAAACAACAATAGCTTTTACAGTGCTTTTGGGTGGTTGTGTAATGAAAGAATGTGAGTTCGTGCGACGTGCGGTACAGGGCCAGGATAACATCGTCATTGGGCATCACCACCATCGAGACCAATAGCTTCTTCCAGTATGAGATGCGACAGATTCGCTATAACGGTCACGGTAGCGGGGGCCTCAAGTTCATTGCGTCCCTTAAGCCTGGGGTCTTCAACACAATTGCAAGATAATCCTCACGTTTCTACCAGTTGTGTTGTATGTAGCGATCATTTCTACTACCGGAAGCACTGAGGTGACTTTCTAATTCTTCCTTCTCCCGCCTGGAATTCTCTACCACAGCATCGGGGTTCAGAAGTTCATCGCGTTCCTTCAGGGTCTCTAACGCAGATTGAATGTAATCCCAAGCTTTTCCACCAGCCTCTTTGTATGGAGGCAATTTAATGGAAAGCAAAGCCTGCAAAGCCTGCTCTTGATCGGCTGAGCTTTTGAACTTTGCTTTTCCTAAATAAGCCCAATGGTTCCCGCGCCTTGTGTCCTCGCCCGACTTCCCTACAATCTTCTTGGGGACCATTTGCTTGCGTGCCATGTTAAAAAAGTCTGCATGTATCATCGTATCGCCAATCGCTAGAACCGCGTGGCTGATCACCGCATTGTCGAATACCTCAAAACCGAGGTCAACGTCCACACGGACTCCATCGAAGTAAGTCGTGCCAGGAATGGCCAAAGGTGACCCAGATGCTGTCAGCATACTCACACAAAGGTAGAGTAGAGTGAACAAGCGTGAAGCAGTGACCAGGAAGAGCATTTTCCGAATGATTCAGACGCGAGACGTTCAAGGGCAGGGTAGGTCAAATCTACTTCACAGTGTGACCACCGTAAATATGACCAGAAGATATTCCAAGTGTTCGATAGACGCACCAGGGTCACAATCCGTCGTGAATTGTCCAACGATTGTTGAAAAAACAGAAGGCAGAATATGGAGTGCAAGTCGGAATGTTTTTTTTTAGTTATCTAGTCCCATCGTTGAGTAAAGGCCAAAGTTGAACTTGCTTGGAATGAAACTCGGAAACATACCGAGCAGTTGCAAAAATCAATAGGAATGTGGCTACCAGGTCTAAACTAGTGAGAACGGGAGACAAAAGCTATCGTGACACCAAATCAGGAATTGGAAGAAGACCGAGTGCATGGTAGAGCTCTTACCGAACCAGCGCAAAGTGTACGAGTATATAACGAAGCTAAGTGTGTTGGAAGAAGGATGAGGGGACTATCTTTAGCCCTGATACTTATATCTTTTCGCTTGACCTGAGATAGCTTGATGATTGCCAATGAAGAAACCATCAATCGAGAGCCGTGTGGACTCCATCTTGCGAGCATTTCAGTGAGCCGACGGAAGGGCAACTCGCACAAGCCGGAATTGTCCTTGATTCATTTCTTTGGGATTGTGAGAGATCGGAGATGGGCTGATGAGGCATTTGAGATTGTCATCAGGAAAGGCACCACCTTGAAAGCGCCCAGGCTAGCATTAGACGACACACAACACCAACGCGGTCCCATCATTGAACAAGAATTGACGCAATCAAAACGATAGCTTTTACAGTGCTTTTCGGTGGCTGTATAGCGAAAGAAAGTGAGTTCGTGCGGTAGAGGGCCAGGAGGCAAAGGGTAGCCACTCAAACTCGGAGATCAGAGAATAATAAGTTAGAGTCCATCAGCGCCTATTAACTGCCTCCCAGTGTTGCACTAAACCAGTCCTTCGTGTTACCTCTACCTGTTCTCGTATCATACAGAAGGATAGCTAGTGCCAATAGCATAGCTGGTTCCTGGGGAGAATCATCTGCAGTACCATTCAGAAGGAATAGAACGATTAGAGTAGAAGCAATAGCAACTCAAGGAGCATGTGGAAACACAGTATATGGATTATGTGGTAAGTATCCCAGTAACGATGTGCAAAGGAATAAATCCCTCAGCACTACCTGCCTCGGCCCTCAAACACAAATACAGCAGGTACATCAGCGAAGAAATCACTCATGAATAGAAGCTACGCGAAGAACAGCCTGGTTCGACCATTTGTGTAACGAGTCCACGTTTCTCTTTGTTTCAATTACTCTTTGTCCTAAATAACATATAGATAAAGCTGCAACGTGGCGAAGGTGCCTCTGTCCTCTCACCATCGCTCGCAGCGGTGTCATACGATTATATTTATTTCACCCTCCCTCCTCCCTCAAACACATATTTCACTAATCTGCCTACATACAACTTCATTTCGTTCGCCTCCTGTAGCTTGGCTTGAGCTTTAGACCTCAATACATCTCTTATTGCGCCCAAAATCCCTCTCAATTCCCTGCCTTCGAGGAGATGCAAGCATTGATGTGAGATTTCAGTGAGCTGACGGAAGTAAATGGGACTTGAAATATGCATGAGCTTAGCAAAGTTGCGAAATTCAAAAAGGAGGTCTGAGCAGATGGAACGCTGTATTTCTCCTTTGCACCAGGACGCGAAGAAACTATGTAAAAATGGAAAACAAGAGAAACGGATACTCACTGATTAACTTCGAGGCCTATGGTCGGAGGCTATCTTACCTTCCACTGCTCGTTCGACGCAGCAAAGCAATATTGCAGTGAGTGGAGCAATAAGGGAACAGAATGTGTAAACGAAAGGCTCATGAAATCGCAAAAACGACTTCCATGTGGTCCTATCATTCCCCCTAGCCGACTTGAACGACTGACCTCGTCATTGCAACATCGTACGAGTGACGCTCTCTACCAACTGAGCTAAGGAGGAGACAAGCATTGTTGCTCGGTGTGAGGGTTCATAAAAAATGACCCCGTATATATATTCGAGGGGGACTGAGCAATTAAGACCATCAACTTGCTGACTTTGAGAGACGTACGAGTGGGGCAGAATAATTTGAGCGTTCAATGTATTAAATTGGTTAATGACGTCTGGAGTTTGTTGTTATTGACTGAACATGGAGACGAAGGAAGGAAGGAAGGTAAGACCTGACGTCAGTCGCGAGACAGGATATAAACACTGACATGCATTTTACCTGTAACGAATAAATCTCATTAACAGTCGTTGGTTTCATTCGTAAACACACCATACCCATTCAACAATGATCTCCGTTCTCTGTCGACTCACGGCAGGCCCTACCAAGGCAGCATTCACTCGTGCCAGCCTCATTCGCCCAATGACGATGCATACGCCAACCTCAATCGCCACTCTCTCCACTCTTTCTTCATCGCTCAATCACCCTTCAGCCAATCCCAGATCCTTAACTCGGTATCAAGCCCCTCCTCGTTCCATATTGGTCCGTACCGTTGCTTCAACAGTCTCCAATAGACCCGCTTCCCAAACCTTTGACCACGCCGCGGTAAACATTCGCGAAGAAGCCAGCAACAGTGCGGCAGACATCGCGAAAACTATTGCAGGAGGAAACATTCCTGCTTCCGATCATTCGTTCGTGGCTATCACTTCCTCACTCGCTTCATCCGTCCCCAAGCCAGTTTTGGCGTTTGGTCTTCTCGGCACTGTGCCGTACGTTGGAGCAGGAGCGACGACTGTATACCTCGCTAGTGTCGCTGGTGCCGCTGCAGCTGGCCATCCAACTTCGATCGACCCGGGTGTGGCGCTCACTATGCTCGACCAAGCGTTAAACATTCAAGTAACGTATGGAGCCGTCATGCTCTCCTTTCTCGGTGCTCTTCATTGGGGCATGGAATTCGCTAAACCTCGCCCGGTTCAGTCTGAGTCTATCCGTCGCCTCTTGCTCGGTGCTGCGCCCATCTTTTTTGCTTGGCCTACGCTAGCTTTGCAACCAATGACCGCCCTTCTCGTACAATGGGTTGGATTCACCGGCCTATGGTGGGCTGACGCCACCGTTTCTGGAATGGGTTGGACACCAGCGTGGTACTCTCAGTACCGATTCTACTTGTCCATCCTTGTTGGAACGTGTATCATCGGTTCGCTCGCCGGGACCTCGTACTACGGTCCAGTCGCTGGACACGGATTCCTGTCACACGATCTTGAATTGACAAGGGAGATGAGGAAGAACTTGAAGGATGAAAGGGAAGGAACAGTTAGTGGAGTCGTCGAGGCTTTGCCGGCTGACCAGTCATCTGGAGCGTATGTGATGCTGAAGAAGAGAGATTTAACCAAAGAGAAGCAAGAACAGCAGGAGAAACAAAGGGAACAAGCCGCAAAACAGGAAGCAGAGGAAATTAAGAAATCACAGAAGGATGCGAAGCGGTCATGATTACATCGTTTAACAAACAATATAAAATACGAGACGTACCGGACTCAAATTCTGTGTATCTGTACCACTACATGTACTTTGTGTAGACTTTGCATGGCCTCGAAGGCTTTGTTCAGTGTGTAACTTCTCTCCGTAGCAATGAAAATTAGAAACAATGGATTATCGAATGATCTTGACCTGGCTTTACCATATGGGTATGGGCAACCTCAATACAGTTCGGCACCATGCCGCATGCGACCATTTTGGTACAATCTAAGCGCTAAACGCAAATTCCTTCGCGCTCCT